CTGCTATCAGTGCTTTCTTTGTAATTGTTGTTGATACCCAATTTTTCCCTATGTATTTTATATACTCAAGATGTTCTCAAAATAGTATGTACATGCATATATAAGCATGCCCAAGAGTATTGGTATCTTTCCCTTATTTTAAAGGTTTTTAAAATCAATTTGTTGTCTATTTTAATAGTACAAAACTCAATAATTATTTCCGGACTATCATTTTTTTGATGAATAATTTATTTTTATTTCATATTTACACCAAGATATAATTAATCTGATTTTTTGCACATTTTTATAAAATTTATTTGGTATTTAAAGGCTAAATTGCTATAATTGCAATTATAGCCTATTTTTCGATTAACAGTATTTTGCAATTACAAAATTGCTCCCAGTACTTTAATTAATATTTATATGATTATTAATCAATTTAGTGCTTTTAACTGGTTTTGGAAATTATTTTAACTATTTTTAAAATAAAAAGGGAAGAAATGGTTGTTTAACATTTAGCCTCGTCCATTTCAATTATAACCCCTTTGCAATTTCAATTTTAACCACAATTGAGCCCAATCGCAACCATCTAAAATTTTAAACCGACCCAATCCATAAAAAAACGACCGGATCCCCCCTTTTAATCTCATCAACGGCTCAGATTGATTATTTCCTTTTAATTCACAGACGACCCCTAACCCTAATTCATTTTCCTCCTTCAGCCGCCCTTGAACTCCCAAATTCTCTCAATGCTCCCTGGAACCCTAGCCTCCCCTACCTTGTTCCACCATGTTTTCACCGGCGTCCATGGCTTCTCAGGCCATGGACAGCCTATACCCACCTCCTATGGCTCCTGCATGCCTGTTGTTCGAAGGATCGAGGCCAGACCTCGAGGGTCTTCACCCAGGCCTTCACTGATTCGAAGATTCCGGCCATCTCCGGCCTTGCTCCGGTGGCTCTTGGTCTTTTGAGCCTGTTTATGACATTATCCGACTTAGATCGGGTATTTTCGAAGCATTTCTTATGTCTAGGGTTCATCTGGAACCCTAAATATCGAGGTTCTCTCCGATTATTTTAGATCTGTTACATGTTTGCACTATTGCTTAAGTTTCTTAAACCTTTTTTTTTTTTCTTTCAAAAAGCACTTCTTTTCGATTAGGGTTTCTGGAAAGTCCTTAAAATGTTTCTGAATCTTCTTCTTCTCTTTTCTTGGTGTGAATCGATCCTTGCTATGTTCTTACTGGCTCTTTTCTGACTCACATGCCTTTCGTGTGTTCTTATATTTGCCTTGTTATGAAATTTATTTTATTATGCTCCGTTCTATCTCATACTGGTTTTTCACCATGCTCTATCATGTCTATCTTATGTGTTCCTCTACTGTATTTTCCTACTGAGTTTTGATCCTTTGTTTGCCTTTATCAGACTTCGCCTGGATTCTTTCTAGATGTGTTTCATCGACTGTTTCTTTAAGTTTACACTACCTGAACTCATTTAATTTTCAAGCTTTCTTGAAACTTGTTTCCTGTACTGGTTCCTATGTTCTACTTGCCATTGTGCTTGTATGCCTCTCATGAGACTCTGAAAAGGTCTCTGAGCATATCTCGATAGTTTGCCTCTTCATCTCTGTATCAAATTCGAGTTTAAAAAACCCTAGGATTTGGGGGTTTTCTTTGGCTAAATTTGGTTTTATGTTTGGACAAGGGTTCTACTTTGAAACCTTGAACTCTCAGACTCACTTCGAGTTTATGAATTGAATTTGAACCTTTTTCTGCGTTTGTGATTTTGAAACCCTCTTGATTGACATGTCTATGTGTTTTATACGAGAGCTTCTCTTTCAAATGTCTTGCCAACTATTAATTGATTCTGAATTCCTTTAATGTTGCTTATTTGATTGTTACTGATTTTTTCCTAAATTAAAACTTTTCTTTTACCTCTTTTCTGACTCGAGCAAGGCTTTCAATGGGATTCTTTACTGGTTATTTTACTGGTTCCCTTTCCTTATTTTACAAATCAAGTACCACCATGTATTTACCCTTACTTGTCTACCTTGCACGAGGTATTTACTTGATTTCCTTCCTTAAATAACTTCTGCCCATTACCGTTTGAATTTGGACTCCTTAATTAAAGGAAGTCTATAGGCTAATTGATTTTAATTGGTACATAGTTCCTTAATTATTACTAAACTATGATTCTTGCCTTATTTGCTACACCTGTTTGCAATTATAAATACCCTGCTCTTTCATTAACACACACACGATTTTAATCATCACAACTCTCTTCTAAAACTTACACTCTTGCTTCTTGATTGCAATTTGGCTTCCCTAAATCTACTGTTTCTTCCTACTTGCTCTTCTGAACTGGTATGTCCTACTTTTGATTCAAGCATCAAAATCCAATGTGTTTACTTACAAGCTCTAACGCCCATGCCTAATTTACTACTTTATAGAGTTCAGTTTTAAAATGATTACTTATGTTTGGCTATCTGTTACTGCAATGAATCCCTATCCCCATTCCCTTTTATGTGCTTGGGCTGTAGTTTAAGACATGGCAACATACAAAGTTGTTGTCATGGATTAAGACTGGGTCCTTTGGATCCCAGCCTCTTTCAATCTCCCATACCCCCATTCCCTTATGTGTATAGAGTTAAGGTATAGCCTGGCAGCCTCTAAATTGCTGTCCATGGCTGAACCTGACCCTCAAAGGGCCCTAACTCTCTAATTTTTAAGCTGACAAACTGGTCAGGGGTGTGCCAGCAGCCCAGGTGCTAGGCATGACCACCAGCCTGCCCTGGCTCCACCCCCCCTAATTCCTTTTCATTTCACTTACACTTACTCCTAAGCCCTTAAGTCCTGTCCCCCTCCTGTGAGCCTTGCCTTGGGACCTTGAGTTCTCTTTGAACTTGGACACTTGAGGGTTGACCCTTCCACACTGCACTATAATCTGTTCTGCAATAATATTTGGGGTGTAAGCACTGCCTGGAACTCTTTAAGTTCCTTGGAACTTTGACACATCCCAAATAAGAAAAAGGCTTTGAAAAATCCGATCCTGGAAGTTGGTTTATCTCATGTTATTAGACTTTTAGTCTGGATTAGGCAGATTAGATGTAGATGTAATCACTGATGTATTTTCATTTATTCTTTTGATTCACTTGGTTTGTCATAAGCTTTGTAATGAACCTTTTAATAACTACTAGGGTATAGTGAAAAAGGATGGGATAGAATGCATGCCAAAGGGGTAGATACCATGCCTATAGGGTGTATATTTTCTCAATTCTGCATTTTCACGTAGATACATGCCTATAGGGTGTATATTTTCTCAATTCTGCATTTTCACGTAGATACCATGCCTATAGGGTGTATACTTTCTCAATTCTGCATTTTCACATAGAAAACATGTCTATAGGATTAATACTTTAAAATGCTGCATTCTTCACATAGATACCATGCTCATAGGTTTTCTGCACTTCGCAATATATACCATGTCAATAAATCACTGCTAAAATTCTGCACATCACGTAGATAATATGCCTATAGGATTTTTCCAGCATTTTTGCACGTGCATCTGTCATTAGGCAATTCCACTTATAAGGCCTAAAATAAACCAATCATATCAATGACTTGCTTAGAAGATCTCTGCATAACAAGATTCGTAACACCTAGAAAGCATGCCTATAGGAGTAATCGATTAAAATCTGAAATTGCCCACTCATCTTTAAAATCAGTAATAATTCGTTTAAAGTGCTCACAGAACTTACGATACTGTAACTTAAATATTTTTTTGCAATCAATTCATTCTTCCCCCGTCTTTGAACTAATAGATATCATGCATATAGACCCTGTTTAACGCAGATAGATAGTTAGATAATTAATCAATCGTTAGTTTTTCTGCAACTACATCTAAGCAGGACTAATTCGGACTCCCTATCTGGAAAATATGTGGTAAATCAATTCTTCCTACGCTAATTTTAATCAAGGACCTAAACAGTATGTGTAAGACGTGCTAAACAATTCGATTCTCTAAATGAGGAGGCCTACTTGAGCCTTTATTGAGCCTTTAATTGCTTTATCTCCCCATTAAGTGTATTATGTGTTTTTGATTGTCGCCTTAGAATTTTATCCTTTTAAACCTCTGAAAAGCCAAGCTTCCTCCCTTTAGGATTAGTAGTCCTAAAAGCCTCCAGGACTGATAGGTGGGACGGGTAATAGCACGCTGTAGGTAGCGATACCATTCCGCGATTAATACCTTAACGGGGTGGGAAGGGTAGACATGGAGATGATGATCACATGATAACACTATGCGTACGATTGGTTGCTGGTGTTGTGTGGATGATACATGTGATTTATAAACCTAGGACCCCTTTCCTTATGTTACTTTATTTAGTATCAATAAATTATGTCTTTTCAATTACCCAAAACTCCCCTTTAATTTTTTCACTGCATTATTCCTTTTCCTTCTAACTTTTTCTTCTTTGTTTATTCAATGTCTTGACTAATTCTTGCACTTAGACTCTCCCTCAAACAAATTATAGATTCCAACATGCTTGTTTGCAACCCTTATGTGTAAATTTATTTGTATACTTGTTTACATTAAAGTCACAACATAGCATGGCCGAGAACCACACTAGTGGATCTTGAGGGGTGCCTAACACCTTCCCCTCGAGATAATTTCTAGCCCTTACCCGAACTCTGGTTTTCAAATTCAAAACCCTTAGTGTCCTAATGCACTTAATTATTAGGTGGAGACTCTTCAATTCCAAAAACCCAATTCCCAAACGGGAATAGAGTTGTCTTCCCAAATATCGTAAACCCGATTTCGCTTTAAAAAAAAAGGGGCGTCGACAATTGTATTAGAGCCAGACCATATATAGCTTCTGCAGTCTGACTCTATTAACTTTATCACTTTAGCTGGCAAGATAAATATTTGGGACCAATAAGATTGGATACCAAATATCGCTGTTTGAACTAACTGTACCCTTCCAGCATAAGATAATTTCCAAGCTATCCAAGAGGAGATCCTTGCAACTATTTGTCAATCAATGGTTGCCATTGCAAAGCCGTTATCTTCTTTGTATCCAATGGGATGCCCAGATATTTGAAAGGCAGTTCCCCAAGTGAATATCCAGTATTCTGTAGAATTTCTTGCCTAGTATCCTGAGCAACTCCCCCAAAGTAGATTGCACGCTTATTGGGATTGGCTAACATTCAGATGAAGCAGAAAGTTGCATAAAGCAAGCATGAAGAGTGGAAATTGATTTATATCACCCCTAGCAAACATTAGTAGGTCATCTGCAAAGGTGAGATGCGTTATATCTAGCTTACCACACCCTATGAAACCTGTATTCCTTAGCATGCTTCGGCCCATTGAGTAGCCTGCTTAGTTATTCCATTGCAATTGCAAATAGAAATGGTGATATGGGATCACCCTGTCTGAGTCCTTTGGCAGCTTCAAAAGGTTTTGTCAACTCCCCATTTATCATGATTGAATAGCTCACTGTTGATACACAAGTTCTCACCCAATTAATGAATTTTGTGGGGAAGCATAAATATTCTAACAGTTGTTCCAAATACACCCATTCAACAGAATCATATGCTTTCATCATGTCAACCTTCATCATACATCTAGGGGAGATATGTTTCCTGCTATAAGCTTTAACTAACTCACGAGCAAGAATGATATTGTCTGCTATTTTCCTCCATGGGATAAATCCTGCTTGGGCTTCAGATATGATGCATGGCATGATCTTCTGTAGTCTACCAGCTATGACTTTTGAGATAAGCTTGTATTAGACAGTACAACAGGCAATAGGCTTGAAAAGTTTAATTGTCACTCGATTGGGAATTTTAGCTAGCAAAGTGATGGTGGTGCAGTTGATTGTTGGAAACATCACCCCTATATGAAAAACTTATTTCACTGCAGCATACACTTCTTCTTTGATCACTCACCATGCTTTTTTGAAGAATTCTGCATTATACCCATCTATACCAGGTGCTTTATCACTTCTTATCCCCTTTAGAGCCTCATCTATCTCTTATTCAGTAACTTCAGCATTCAGATCTTGTTGTTGTTGTGTTGGAGTTGGACATTTCCTCATTACCATCATGTCCCCAACTGGAAGTATATGTGCATTGGTTCCCATTAAGCCTTTATAGAAGGATACATTCTCCTCTTTTATAGTTGCATGTTCTGTTATGGTACTCCCTGATAGTGTCTGTAGTTCAACAATTTGTTTTCTCTGCTGCCTCTCCTTTACTACTACAGAAAAAAACTTATTATTAGCATTACCCAATTTGATCCAGTTTGCTCTAGCCTTTTGTTGCAGTATCTTCTCTTCCACCATTGACCATGTTTCCAGCTTTTGCAACTATTCCTTCTCTTGGACTTGCAACAGATCATTATAACTATTTTGCATTTGGCTTTGTATATGATAAGTGGTTTTTCTTGCTTGATCTATCTTCTCAGCTACTCCTTTGAACTCAGTTTCATTCAGCTGCCTAAACTGCCTTTTCATCCTTTTAAGCTTGACCCAAATATTTTCCATCTTCCCTGCTACTTTGTTCCTGCTCCATTCTTCCCTTATTATCATTTCAAAATCAGGGTGATTTGCCTATACATTAAAGAAACTGAATGGGCTCTTGGTAAGAATCCTAGGTTTCTTTATACTGATGCACGTGGGATTATGATCTGAAATATAAGGCTCCCCATAATCAGTACTCAGATGACTATAGTTCATCACCCAAATATCATTTCCAAACATCCTATCTATACGACTCCACAACCTATCAACACCCTGCTGCTTGTTGGTCCATATAAACTAATCCCCTCTCCATGGTAATTCTGTAAGACCAATGTCATGGCATAGCTCAGCAAGGTCCTTTATATCAGCATTTGTCACAGGCACTTTAGAGATTCTATCTTGGACAGTGAGTATAGCATTGAAGTCTCCCCCTATTAACCAAGGTCCTTTAGTAATCTGTGCTAATCTTTTTATGTGCTCTCATAGTGTTCTTCTTTGTTCTGCAGCATTCTGTCCATACACCACTGTGAGATAATAATACATCCCATTCTGCTTCCCAATTACTAGACAGTGAATGAACTGGTCTTGTTTGTCTAATGGTTGTACTGCATACATTTGCTCATGCCATATGATCCATACCCTTCCATTCACATCATACTCATAATTTGTCATCTTATTCCAACTAGGGACTATTCTACTAATAACGTTTCCTGCATTGCCTTCTTTCACCTTTGTTTCAACTAAGCCAGCCAAATTAATATGTTTATCATCTATGTACTGCTTTATTTCTTTTTGTTTATACCTTTTATTCAATCCCCTAATATTCCAAATTAGCCAAGTCATTGGTGAATAATGATTCCACCTCCCCAATCAGGTGGTCTATTTTCCTCCATTCTCTCCTCTTCTTGTTGCAATATCTGAAAGCCATTCTGCTATTACTAGCCAGAACTGGCCACTCATCTCTTTGGTCAGTACTTTGCACTTCTTTTGCTTTCCCTTTATCCCTTGTTACCCTTGGATTTCCAGAGCTTTCATTAACTATAACTGCATTACCATTATCTTGCTTCATTGATTTACTTGTACCCTCATTTTGCTCTGTTTGTTGTTGCTGCCCTTGTCTTTAACTTGCCACCTTGTGGTAATTTTCCCCTGCTTCTTTATTCCTTTGTGTTGATCTTCTTTATTCACTCTCTTCTCCAATGTACAATCATGTCATATCTTCATGCAGTCTATATAATATTGAGGTTTCCATTCATACTCCACCTGCTGTTGGGTCATTCTCCTTGATGGATCTTGCGATGTCAATTTTTTGGAAGCTTTTTTATCAAATTAGCTTCCGCCAAAATCCTAGCATATGATATACGGGTCTGCTTAGTAGTACATTCATCAGCAAAGAGTGGTTTCCCAATAGCACTTGCTAGCTTACTTAGTGTCTTGCTACCCCAGTAGCTCATAGGCAAATTAGGAAAGGTGATCCACAAAGGGATCTCCATCAGAAACTCTGCCTTAATGTCAAAATCTGGAGTCCACTGTTTCAATATCATTGGTCTTCCAATAATAGTATATGGTCCTCCATAGAGTATGTCTTTCAAATCCCTAAGTGTATCAAACTATGGTATGTAGTATCCTTCTTCATGCAAATACAGATCTGGAATGCTCACTCTACTCCAAGCATGAGCTATATATCTCTCTATGAATTTGTACCTTTGTGTATCCCCAATTATATAAATAATTAGGGCAAACTCCCATTTTTTATTTTGAGACTCAATTTCTTCCTTATCTACTTTTACAACAATATTACCATTAACAATTTCCGGTGGGATATATGATAATACCATACCATTTTCTGAGGATCTGTTGCCAGCAAACAAATTTGCCCATGTTTTCTCCAGCTCCGGTGCTTCTACATGTGGTTTTGTCTCGTCCTTTAGCTCTGCTGTTACTGTTCAATTGACATTCAGCTCAGCTGTTGTTACTTTCTCCCTTTCCCGAGTAATCTCCATAGCTGTACTTATTGGAATGCCTCCACACGAAGATGAAGACACATTCATCTGCATTGCACTAAAATCTATCCTCTTCATCGGTCCCTTAGCATTACTAGGTGAGCCTAATTTATGAGAATTAGATTGAAATTGGTGTCCGATTGGTGTTGTTACTTGCTGTATGGATCCCTTAGATAGGGTATCTGCAATTACTGTTGCACTGATGGATTCACCGACCGTCACGAGTGGCACTCGTTTAGGTCGTCCTCGCTTTCTCGCCATGGCTGCTTCTTAGACGGCATAAGTTAACATAACGTGCGCCGAGAGCTTAGAGAGAGAAATCCTAAAGGACGATACATGATATCGCTTATTACTATATTATATATTAAATTCTTAACCTCTATCCACCCTTTATCCTTTTCTATCACATCCCTTTTTCCCCTCTTTGCCTTTCCATTCTCCTGTTGGGCATGACCATCCTCTTTTGGGTATTGTAATCTACAATGGGCATCAACATGGCCCTGTTTTCTGCAATAGAACCAAAAATCGGGTACATGCTCATATTCCACCACTTGATCGAATATGTCCACTTCCCCATTATGGGCTTCGAGGTCCACCTCAATCTCCTTTAACAGAGGTTTGGTCAAGTCAATCTTCGCCCTCGCCTTGGCTGTTGTTGGCCTTGTACGCGCCATGGTAGCTTTGTCCAAAGCTATTAATGGGCCAATTGGTTGTAAAATTCTCTCTGAAGTTGCCCAGTCATGATAGTGCCATGGTAATTCCGGCAGCGCTACCCACACCGGGGCTAGGGTGGACTCCATCTTTGGACTCGCATAAGTGCAACACAGATTACCATTGATATTTTCCCATAAAATTGTTTAAAGTCATCCTCATCCGTGAAGTCAAAGAAAACGTTCTTCCAGTCATTCACTCCAATCTTTATCGAGCCTCGAATGGGGAAGCTCCTCAAAAATTCTTCCCACGGTCTGCACTCTGGAGTTTGCGGCCGCACTAGAGGTTTTTCCTCGACACTCCAAAAGTGCCCTTAGCACTCTAAAAAGTGGCCTCCGCACTCCTACATCTTCATAACTTCACCAAAGTTCTGAAATGCTCAAACTTTTTCAAAACTCACATGAACCTCTCGGGACCCCATCCTATCATCTCAACAGGTCCATAACCATTATCTGGACCTATCCAACGTCTCAAAACATATACGGAAACATCACATCAAAGGATCAAAGACCAAATGACATGTTCAACTCTCTTAAGTTCATAAACTTCTAAACTTCCAACTAAGTGTCCGATTCATGCCTAACCAAATCGGATCACAATCAAGCTTTGCACACAAGTTACAAATGGCATGACAAACCTATTCCAACATCCAAAATAACAATCCAAACTCGATAACATTGAAGTCAACTCCCAGTTAAACTTATAAACATTCCAAACCTTCAAATTTCCAACTTTTGCCTATTAGTGCCGAAACCTTCTAGAAACATAATGCAAATCCTGGCATACATCTAAGTCCAAAATTACTATTCAGACCTAACAGAGCCATCAAAACTCTGGTCTGGGGTGAAAAATGAAAAAGCCAAACTTAGTCAACTCTTTTAACGTAAAGCTTCTAGGATGATAATCAATCTTCAAAATCAATCCCGAATCACCCAAAAACAAAAAACGATGATACACGCAAGTCATAATACCTCATACGGAGCTACCCATGCCCTCGAACCATCGAATGGAATTCAAATGCTCAAAACGACCGATCGTGTCGTTACAAAAATGAGGGTAAGCCTCTCTCTATTTATAGCCAACAAAGTTGAATCGCAGCAGGTGCAAAGATGCATGTTCGTTTGGTAAGGTGTCTATTCGGTAGAAATTTTGCCATGACCCAAAATCCGCCTTAGGCATCGTGATGGCACCTAGTCTTTAAGACTAGGTAAGCTGGTTATTTACCACAGTTAAACTATGCAAGCATGATATTTTAAAGCAGAGTTTAATATAAATACCAAAATAAAGGTGATACAAGCCTACATGGAAATAATCACAATGAATATCATAGAAATATCTCAAAACCAAATATAATACTATTTAGACAGAAAATTAATAGTACAATTCAAATGAAAAGGACTCCAGGGGACTATGGCGATCGAGCAGCTCTAACTTGAATCCTCACGATCGAAGAAGCTAATCTTGCATGAGTCCATTATCTCCAATACCTGGATCTGCATAAAAATATGC